CGGGGGGACTGCGGGGGGGAGAGAGGGGACACCGGCTCGGGAGGGGACACCGGGATGGGGAGGGGACACTGGGGACTGTGGGGCACAGGGAATGGTGAGGGGACGTGAGAGGCTCTGGAGGACACAGGGAGGGACATTGGGGACACAGGACCGTGTGGGGCATTGGGGACACAGGACCATAGGGGACATGGGGGACATGGGACCATGGGGGACATGGGACTGTGTGGGACATTGGGGACACAAGACCATGGGGGACACGGGACCATGGGGGACAATGGGGACACAGGACCATGGGGGACACTGGGGACTGTGTGGGACATTGGGGACCATGTGGGACATTGGGGACACAGGACTGTGTGGGACACTGGGGACACGGGACCATGGGGGACGTGGGGGACACGGGAGCATGTGGGGCATTGGGGACCGTGTGGGGCACTGGGGACTGGGTGGGACATTGGGGACACGGGACCATGGGGGACATGGGAGCATGTGGGGCACTGGGGGCCATGTGGGACATGGGGGACACAGGACTGTGTGGGGCATTGGGAACCGTGTGGGACACTGGGGACACGGGACCATGGGGGACACCGGGGCCCGTGCGTGGCACCGGGGCCAGCCCTCACTGAGCACGGTGAGCTTGGCGCGGCGCGAGCGCAGCGCGGCCTCGGTGGCCTGGCACTCGTAGACGGCGTCATCGGAGAGCTCGGCGTCGCGGATCTCCAGGTTGTACTGGCCCGAGTCGGCCGTGCCCACGATGCGGTACCGGGGCCACGCTGCGGGGACGGCGCGGCGTCACCCGGGGACACCAGCGCCACGGGGACACCGCGACCCCACGGGGACACCCTGACCCCACAGGGACACCAGTGCCACGGGGACACCAACGCCACAGGGACACACCAATCCCACAGGGAAATCTCAATCCCACAGGGACACCAATGCCACAGGGACACCAATGCCACAGGGACACCGCAACCCCACAGGGAAATCCCAATCCTATGGGTCACACATGGGGACACTCCCATCCCATAGGGACACCCCCACCCCACAGGGACACCCCCATCCCACGCCCAGGTGGGATGTGTGGGGCCAGCACTGGAAGTCACACAGGGACACCCCCAGAGCCACCGCCCCTTTCCCAGGTGCCCTTCAGCCCTGCCCCGTGGGTGCCACCCCCGGGTCCCCCCTCCCCTCCCGGTGCCACCCCCGGCCCCGCTGTCGCGGCACCTTTGAGGCCCTGGCCCATGCCCAGCGCCAGCCCGTCCTTGGTCCATTGCACGATGCCGGAGTAGTTGAGCACCACGCAGGACAGGACGATTCTCTGCCCCGCCACCACCGTCTGGTCCTCGGGCTCCTCCACGAAACGCGTCTGCACCGCTGCGGGCACGGGGCCGCGGTCAGCGCCGGGCACGGGGCCGCGGGCAGCACCGGGCACGGGGCCGTGGTCACCGCGCAGCGCCCGGCACCGCGGCACCGCGTGTGCCGACATCCCCTGATCCCGAGATCCCCCTGAGATCCTCTCAGGATCCTCCAGAGATCCTCCAGAAACCTCCTGGGACCCCCCTTCGAGATCCCCCTGAGATCCCCTCGAGATCCCCCAGGATCCCCCTGAGATCCTCCTGGGATTCCTTGAGATCCCCTCGAGATCCCCCCAAGATCCCACTGAGACCCCCCAGGATCCTCCCGGGATCCCCCCGGACCCCCGGAGCTGCCCACG